GACTGTCATTGAAAGTGTTCTAGGAATGTTTTGTCTTCTCAGAGAAGAGATTGTTCGGGGTACTGAAGAAAAAGAAGAAAACAGGAAGACAAGGAGACACGAAGACAAGAAGATGGGAACACAGGAAGACAAGGTGACAAAGACGACAAAGAAGACTACAAAGAGAACAGGGACAACGGAGACAAACAAGAAGAAGAAGAAGGAAAAAAAGGCCGCAGAGGAAAAAGAAGAAAATCATGAGGGAGAAGAAGCCTTGTCATATATCATAGTGTCCGATCCAAAACACGTTCTAGGAATGTCTGTGTCCTGCTTGAGGGAAAGAGTGTTTCAAATTGGGAAAGGGAAGACGAGGAAGGAGGGAAGAAGCATTGTTATATATCATTGTGTCGAAGGCAACCGTCTATAGACTGGTAATCTCTGCAGGGTGATGTATTGGCGGTTTAAACCGCGAGTACACAGCCCCAGCCTTGCAGAAAATGAACTCGTCGCCCACCCGAAAAATTCGGGGCTCGGGACCACAATGGATGGCAGCACCAGCCAAAAAAGAAAAAAAGTGTGCCGCTGGAGGTTCAGCAAAGCCTGGCGGGCAGTGAATCGCCTCCAGGCCCGGGTGTTCTGGTGGTTTACGCCGGACTGGACACAGCGGAATGACAAATGGATAGCAGTTTGAGTCATCGCAGGCAAATTACGACTTGTTTTTTCAGTAGGTGATGCTCCCCACCAATAGACTGGAGCCCAGTCAGATTCTTCAGAACAGCTCATCTTTTTTTGTATGTGGACGAGCGTCTGTTGTTGCATAAGGATATCGGAAACCTAGACAAGGGTTCGAACCCTGCAAGGGAGAGAGATCTGTAGAATGTCAAAGAGCGATCGTCAGGTCACAGTATCTGTCAGAAAGAACACTGCGGAATCCGTCAGAAAGAACTTCAGTGACGTCAGCCACAGGCAAGGCCCTGCATTCTAGCTGCTAACTCGACTTCAGCATGTAAAGGCACTGGTAATGTAGCACGGAAACGAAACTTGGGCAGAAGAGCTTCGGAAATGTCTGTCACCCACAGGCAAAGCCCTGCGTTTTTTTTTTTCGTTTCTTGTCTGAATGGAGAAGCGCCTAACCTTATTGTATCTATCTGTCAGTGATTCGATCAGGATTGAACGCATGACCCGTTTCGCTAACAGTTAGTAGATGTTATGTAGTACTCTGTGTACAATTTGGCGACATGGGATGGGTAGTCCCCCCCCCCAATCTTATCGCAACTGCAACAACTTAAGCAGTTGTGATGCGATGAGCCCGTTCAGCAGGAACGTAAGCAGGCCCAATGCGATGTCATCCAACTTGATCCAAGCCTTGAATGAAACCAATCATCAGCAATGGCAGTAGAAAATAACAACACACATGAAATCAAATGAGAATGAACCAGAACACAAGGAATATTAAGTTATTAACTCATTGATAATCAACAAAAACAAAGGAAATTATTGGCCTCTCTCCGCTTCTTCCCTTGGAGAGAATACTATTCTCCCTGAATTGCAGTGCCCTCGCATCAATCCTGGCTATGGCTGACTCTTCTCTCGAATAGCGGATCTTCTCTCCGGTCTCTCCAACCTATGGTAGTCTCTTTTTTTTTTTTTTTTTTTTTTTTTTTTTGTTCGTACTGGAAATCAAAATCAAATGAGCTTTTGCCTTTTGCTCGACATGAGATTTCTGTTCTCGTTCAGCTCATCTTAGGACACCTTCGTTATCTTCTACGTTCGAACGGATGTGCCCCGCCCAACCTATGATACTCTATTCTCTCTTCTCACAATACCTTCCAGAGGTCCACCACCAAAGAACTGGTCTTGAATCTTGATGGATGAACTTCAGTCCATCGGTAGTCTTTGAGTCTTCTTCAATGCAGCTATGGCTGCATCCACCAATTAAGCTTCTCCTCCGCCCAGACCTCTTCTCTCTTACATAGATATGTTTCCCACTCCTCCTCCCTCCTCCCTCCTCCCTCCAACTCAGCAGCATCATAAGACAGAGAACTCTTCAGAATTCAATGTACCCACAGATCACACACGCATCAGGCTGACTGTTGAGTTTTCAGGCTCTGGGTTCTGCAACTCCTGATATGGGCTTGGCCAGTGATGCCTCGTTCATAGTTGGGAGCCGCCTACACAGATGTGAGGGACGCTGGGCCCGTTTCCCGGCTTGTATAGTAATAATAATAATTGTGTTTTGGCCCTTTTGGGTCAAAAAAAAAAAAAAAAAAGCCAAAAAAAAAAATAATAATAAAAAAAAATAATAAAAAAAATTGCCAAATTCAAAATGGACTTCGAAAGAAAAACAAAATGGTAAAAATTACTAAAAAATAAAGACCAAAATAAAAATCAAAGATAAGTTATTTAAACTTATTTTGAATATTTTATTATTTTCTCTCTTTATTTTTATTTTTTTTGGACCGGCAGGGCAAGTGCTCCCGGGCCACTTCTAGCCTGGCTAGGCAGTAGTCCTTCGATTGCATGTTGTATGGCTGTTGATGAGAAGTTGGTTGGTTTTGTGATTTGGATTGGGCAGGTCACGGTGGAGATCCAAGCCGATTGACGTGGAAGCTGAGACTCGATATTCTGCATGGGGCCAGCAACGGGTTATGGTAAGAAGGCCTGGAATCCACAGGAATGCGGAAAGGAAAAACTTTGCCGCAGACCCCACCCACCACCCGTGGAAGAGGTCCTGGAAAGTTGCAATTTATTCCGCGGCACTGTTTCCCAGGACCCCACAGCCCCCCTTTTTTGGCCTGGAAGAGAGGCCAGGAATCCGTTTTCACTTCGTTCGCGGCCTGGAAAAGTCCCGAGGGACGAAAAACCGCCGCCCACGATTTTGTGCCGAGTGGAGAGTGTCGAGGGGGGCGACATGTCGAAAGTTTCCGAGGTCTCCTCTCCTGGTAGGACAAGAAGGTGTCCGCACACGGGTCTTGTTCCGCAACCGCCGCCCCAACATCACCCACTACGGGACGTCACCGGGGAAGGTGGTGACTGGTGAAGCAAATCCGCTCAGGTTGGCGGGAAAGGGGAAAAGAGAAAAAAAACACAGCCAGAACAGTTGTGCGCACCTCAGAGAATCAGGTGCAGATGATATACCTGCGCAACAAAGCGGCAAGGTGCATTATGCCGAGCATTACCGATTGCCGGACCTTTTTTTCTCTCTTGCCAGCCAGCTGAATCAGACTATTCTACCGATTTCCTTTTTTTTTCTTCTTTTTTTTTTTGCGCGCGCCCGCATCTTATCTGTGTTTTCACTTTTTTGCTAGAGTCTGCAGATCTTTTCTTTCCCCCCCCTCATTTTCCAAAGGGATTTTATTTTTTATTTTTTTTATAAACAGACCGATATGCATCAAATACAAACACTGCTTGTCAGGGGCCAGCTGTCCACATACCCTACCTGATATCTGAGTCTTTTTTTTTTTTTTTTTTTTTGATATCTGAATCTTGCCCCTGTGGAGAAGGTTGACCTATGGGTAACCCTAAACCCTAAACCCTGAACTCTAAACCCTAAACCCTAAACTCTAAACCCTAAACCCTAAACTCTAAACCCTAAACCCTAAACCCTAAACCCTAAGCCCTAAATCCTCTCTCCATTCAAACATGTCTGTCTATCATGAAGCTAAGCCTACCCTCTTGTCAATTAGGGGATGAGCACTCTCACCCTACGACAGGAGCAGTTGCCGGTATTAAGTAACCGGACTGGTACCCCCCCGGAATAGAAGGGGTGAGTGTGTTGTGTTAAAACTCAAAAAAAAAAAAAAAAAAAAAAAAAAAAAAAAGAACGCCGGTAACTCGCCACCTTTTTATTTTTTCGATTGGACCTTCAGAATGATCGGAGGTTACCCCGCGTGCTCGGCGCTAAGCTAGAGTTTCAAGCAGGAGTAGGGATCCCCTATGGATCTGTAGATTATGTACTATGTGGACTATCTGTGGTGTAGCCGTCTGTCACAGCCTCTTCCACTAGTCAACATTCGAAAAGTATAATGGACTGGAAAGTAGCCAAGATACATTTGGACTGATCGAAGTATTAAATTTCCTCCCTACAACATTGTATTCTACTATTTTGCTTTTTTCTTTCCAGGCTGTGCAACAGCATCTGGATGTGGCTGAGTTCAGACATGGATTTTTTTCTGTGTTTGGTAAGGACTACCGTCTTCCCCCGAACATAGCACATATGTTTTGTATTCAAGTTAAAATAAAAAAATGAAAAAAATGATGATCCGACCGCATATGCGTTGTATTCCAATTGAAGGGATGCTCGAATAGAGCGCACGTGCGCTCTATTGGAATAGAAACCAGCCTATGTGGTTGTGTCCGTTTACAACACGCATATGCGTTTTATGTTCGGGGGAAGACGGTAGCTGTGGATGAAGCTGTTCCAAGCGTAGCTGGTGTTATGCTTATGCGAGCGGAGCCACACTGAGCAAATCTTGTTCACGTTCTTAATTGTTTCTTTTGCCAACTGTGTGTGGTCTATAATCACTCAGGTATTTGCATCGGATGGCGCAGCCGAAAATCATCCACAGGGATATAAAGCTGAGCAACATATTGTTGGATGAACAATATCAAGCGAAGATCTCAGACTTTGGGATTTCCAAAAGGAGCCTGAAGGAGGACTCTGTGTCAGCGTTGACTACTGGGAACATTGTGGTATGTACAGGAGCAATGAATGGATGGATGGATGGACGAATGGGTGGGTGGGTGGGTATTGATAGATGAATGGGTGTGGACAGGTTATCGCATCGTGTAGGTAGATGGGTGTGGGAGGGATGGGTGTGTGATTGGGTAAGCTTTTTCTTTTTTTTTTTCTTTTTTTTTCGAAATAGCGCGGCAACCTTGCAATGGGTGGATGACAATTTGTAACACCATTTGTAACAAAACCCAAGGGCCATGTTAACCAAACTTACCTCCAATTCACGGAGTGGACAACTTTTTTTTTTTTTTTTTTTTTTTTTTTTTTTTTT